GGCCAAATAATGAATAGTTTCAACTTAGATATGATATATTGCGACTTAGTGCTTATCCCAGCTATTGTTATATAATGATTACCAAGTTTGTGTAACAAGAAGGTGGCGTGAACAAAGAGGCCACACAGCATGCTAAATGCTTAATCTTATACAATGAGGAACAAGAGGCCCACGGGCCTTATACGTCACCTGAGTATCATGTAACAACATTCCAGAAATTGTATTTGGTTCGTGTTTTAATCCAAAAGCCATGAAATTCACAAATTTTGAAAGAGGCACAATTGCTTATCAAAGGGCAGGTTTCAAAGCATTAATTTATTTTTAGTCAAAGTACCCCCCCCCCTGGTTCACCGGACCCAGCGGCCCTGAAATTATCTATTTTGAAAGAGGCCCCTTTCTTCATTACAAGGCAAGCATTTTTTTATGTTTAGGTTTAGCTATGAACATGAGAATTAAAAAAGTCCCGAAGGAGAAGGAAATAAAAATTTTATTTGATAAATCAATTATTAACATTTGTACATTCTTTTTTTATGCTATCCTAATAGGCTCCTTACCACTGGACACATAATGCTTACAAATAGGAAAGAAGAACATTTAATTGCTGATTTAATTGCTGATTCATCATCTGACAGTAATATAAATTTTTGTGATGTTGATCAAAATAAATTTTTAAAAATCAATTCTTTAAAAGTCTTTCAATATATTCATTTTTTAAATATGTGTTAGGTGAATGTGTAGACATTGTTCTAAAATTTACTTGATGCCTAAAATTATAATTCCTATCATAAAACAGACAGGGCGTACAGTGTATTGGGGAGTAGGGTGAACATTTTTTCAATTAAGTGTAAAATAATTTTTCTGGCTATTACAAATGATACTACATTCCTGTATATATTTGTATATTCCTGCCTTTTAATAGTTGATTTTTTATCATTTCTTCAGGCTATTGTTTATTTCTTTCTCAAATGGATTTAACTTCTCCCATAGTTTTATTCATTACATCTGATGCATAAGCAACCCTTTTCTGAAGAGTGTTGCTTTGACTGTAAGCTATAACAGAGACCTAAACAATGTCGCTGGCAATATGCAATAGCTACCACGGGCAGTTTAAAACCTGGGGGAGGAACAGTTTAAAACCTGGGGGAGGAAAATAATTTACAGACAGATACTTTTGAAACGAATACATAATTATCTCACCAGCATGTCATTGTGCAACAAAGTCGTCAGCATTTTATTTGTTCTTTGAACGGGTGAAACTTTTTGAATGGACCTCGTATCGATGAATTTTACACTAAACCAAGCTATTTCTCAGATCTAGCTTTATTTTACCTGTCGTTTCATCTTAAAACCGGAAGTGCGATTTCGTAAATTTGAAACCTCGATCACGACTCAAATTTGACATCGGAAAGAAAAAAATTGCTTTATTTTTTTTTTCTGAAAATTCAAAACCTTGAGCGGAGGGTTTGTAAAACTGAAAATAAAATAAATCCTTGCCTTAAATATGTAATTAGATCATTAGCATATTAACCAGGAGCAAAGGATAAGATGTTCAAAGAATTCATGCATTTCACTATATAATCATTAGAGCCCCACCCTAAAACAAGAATCCCTGACCCTGGGACCATAAAATTCACAATTTTGGTAGATGCACTCTTGCTCATCATAACTATGTACTTAGTTAGTTAATTTAATACCCAGGAGCAGAGAAGAAGATTTTCAAAGAATTCATGTATTTTCACTATACATATATAATCAATAGAGCCCCGCCCTAACACCATAACTTCTGACCCTGAGGCCATAAAATTCACATTTTTGGTAGAGGCACTCTTGCTCATCATAACTATGTACTTAGTAGATTTATTTAATACCCAGGGGCAGAGAAGATTTTTAAAGAAATAATGCATATTCACTACCTACTTATTTAGCCCCGCCCTAGCACTAGAACCCCTGACCCCAGGGCCATGAATTTCACAATTTTGGTAGAGGACTCATTGCTGATTACAATCATGCAAACAGTTTGACTTCTTGATGTCCAGGAGTAAAGAAGAAGATTTTTAAAGATTGCATTGATTTTAGTGGTTTTTGCCCCACCCTTCAGGCCCCAGGGGGGCAGGGATCTTGAAATTCACAATTATTGTTCCCCTTCACCCATAGATGCTTTGTGCAAAATTTGGTTTAAATTGGTTCAGTGGTTGCAGAGAAGAAGCTGAAAATGTTTAAATGTTAACGCACGACGCACGACGCACAACGCACGACGACGGACGAAAACAGATAGCAACAATAGGTCACCTGAGTTTACTCAGGTGACCTAAAAATCTAAACAACAAAAATTCAACAATCAAAAATTTCCTTTTCAAATATTTATATTATATGGAAAGAGGATGGGAGGTGGCGGTAAATTGACTTCACCTCGTGATTCTGCAAAATTGACTTCACCTCGTGTTTCTGCAAAATTGAATTAATTGAGCACTCGATCCCGATCAAGCCGAACCCGATCCAAACATAAGTTCGATCTCGATCCAGTCGACCCCAATACATAAAATTCATTAACTGCAATTTTAATTTAAATAAGTCAAACACAAAGTAAAAAAGATTGTATATAAAACATTTTATGAAACAAAATTTTATTTATATCCACAACTTTTCCACTAATAAAAGTCATCTCATAATATGAAAAGACTTTCCGTAGCTTGTTCTTGTTGCTTGAAACACTAGAGAAGACATGAGAACTTGAGTTGAGTGAAAATGTCATTTATTGACCAGATAAATGACGAAAGTGAACAAAAGCACATAAATATACAATATTGCACACAATCGATGTAAATTATAGCTGGGATAATGCCAAATAATGAATAGTTTCAACTTAGATATGATATATTGCGACTTAGTGCTTATCCCAGCTATTGTTATATAATGATTACCAAGTTTGTGTAACAAGAAGGTGGCGTGAACAAAGAGGCCACACAGCATGCTAAATGCTTGCATGACTCATGCAGCGCCACCCAAGGAAAGGCATTTCGTGAATTATATGCTACTCAATTTTAATTGTAGAAAAATGTGTTTTTAACAGTTACTAACATTGTGTATTGAATAACATGTACCTGTAGTTACTAAATAAGCATAAACATTAAAAAAACAACGTAGACACAGAGTTATATCTGAATAAGTAACAAAATATAAAGGACAAAGGTTACTAAACCTGTGAGTAACTTACATTTAACGAGATTAAAGAAGGGGCCATATGCTGCCTCATAAACAATATTTAGAAACAATCCTTAGTATCATGAGCTCATTTCTACAATTTATATTTTATGAACATCCATATGCTGACCTTATGCACAATATCCTGCAGAGCTCCAACTAACATCAAGATTTTATAAGCAGCTGTACACTGATGTCATACACAAATGTTTGAACTTCTAAGCTCATGACAATGATACAATTTTGTAAACCGACATATGCTGACCTGATACACAATTCACTAGATCAAACTCCAAGCTGAGTTTCAACTGTCTAATTATAGATTGTATGAGCAGCTGTATGCTGTCCTCAAGTATATTAGCTTGCAAATTTATGGGCAATTTGAAGAGTAAAGTGTTCATCTACTGAATGAGCTAGCATTTAATTTTCATAGCAAACACTTTGCAAGATCACTGACTGATTACATCTATATTTTAACAGTACTTTGTTCTGATACTTATATTTTATATATTTAGTCTTATTCTTAGTATGTACATTATAATTACATTCAAGAAACAGAAATTGGTTATTAAATTATTGATCATAAACTTTTATTATGCAGAGTCTGAATTCCTAAAAAAAAAAATATAAAAATCAAATTTAAGATGCTATATTTAGATAATTTCTTTAAAAAATATCTAGTAAACATTAAAGGTAATAAAAATAAGTATGTAAATTTAATACAGATTTCAAAGAATACAAAATCGAGTACAAGTAATATTCAAACAATGGAAACAAATGTGGGTAAAATCACCTGAATATGTAGAGTAAGCATCTTTTTCTAGACCGATCACAGACCCTCTTTTTACTCAGGATTTTGAAGTAATTCATAGTCGAAAGAAGTTTAAAATGCAACAATCAAGCCATAGGTTTGAAATCTCTCAGAAAATGGGGATTGTCACAAGGAATACAACTCTGAAAATGAAAACAATAGCCCCACCTGCTCAAAAGGTTAAAGTTTTTTGAAAAGACAAAAATAGAGCTAGACGGATCTGCAGGGCAAAAATCATGTACCCCCGAATCTTCGAGTACGCAGCGGCATAAAAATACTCAACGATCGACTGAATATAAAAGAAAACGTATTGAGGAATACAATTCAAGTTAAAGTTATTAAACCCAGTTGTATGTTTGTCAGTAGCTTGCCTTGTTTAAAATTGATCGTATGTAGAAAATATTTTGTTGTTACAAATCGGTTTGATCAATTAATGTAAATATACTTAAAATTAACAACCAGCAATTCTGTTATGGGAAAATCTTACTAATTTTCCTCATTTTCAATAACAGGAAATAAAATCTGCCGCCGAGGGCTATGTTACAAATTTCAAAAATGGAACTTTGAAGAGCATTTGTTATTCTGTTTGTTTAAAATATATATAATTGTGAAATCAAATTATTTCCACATATATTTGGATATAAGCTAAACGAAATGATTTTCTTTACGTTTTTAATTAAGTCCATTTTTCTCCAAAGCAGTGTGGAATCGTGTACAAAAGATAAGTATGAACATATAAAGATATTCTAAAAATTAATTGAAATCTGTAATAATGCCATTTCTTAACACACTTCTTAATCATTTTTTAAAAAACAATCCAGAGAAACTGGAGTATGTTGTTTCAATTTCTACAAGAGCAAAAATGATCATTGCAAACGTAAGTTTATATTTTGCAAAACAATTGATTCGACAATTGAAATCTATAAAAGATATCCATATTTAAAATAAGACAAAGAACATTACATTGATACATTTAGCATGCCCCGTTGGTACTTTTGGTTCCAACTGTAGTGAAGGTTGTCCCCAAGGATACTTTGGAATGTTGTGTTGAGAAAAATGTTCTTGCAAGGACGATATTTGTGACAGAGTAGTTGGTTGTCCATCAATAAAAGGTGTGTACAGACTTTATCGATTTCACAAAATGTAATAGGTTGTAATTATTTTAAATGAAAAGGTGTGAAAATAACTTCAATAAATTTCAAAATTCAACATCCAATACCAATTTTAAATACTTTTTGTTCTTTACAAGTTGACGATATTGCTCTTTAACTATTACTTCTGTCTCAAAAAGGTACAGTAGATAAGTAAATTTCTGCCCTTGTTACCAATTTCTGACGGGGATATCACTCATTGGAGATTTTTTGATATACCACAGGTCAGGTGCAGTTGCGAAGAAACAATTGTTTTTGCGTTAGCGTGATGAAGTAAAACAAAGTGAAGTCATATATAAAAACAATGTTAAACATTGCTTGTGAAGTATTAAACATGCAATAAATAGAATATCCCATGGTCGGTCGTTGGATATGGTTTTTATACAAATCGTTGTGTTTTTTATCCTCTCGGCAAGGCTTGGGAATAAAAAAAAATCATACGACTCGTTTGATGAAAATTACATCTTACTACAAATCCTGGGTGATTCTGTATATTTTTAAAGATTTTTATTTTTACTTTTATTCAGATTGGTCTGTTTCATCTTCCCTTACTTCAACATCAGTCAAGGAAATTTTGTCGACTGGTATGATATCATCCTCATATTGGAAAAATACACTTTTCACAGTGATGGGGTCTGTTGGAACACTTTGTGTTGTTATAATGATGTACTTTGTTAAAAAATGGTACGATTGACATATTATTTATAGCATAATTCATTACAATAAAACGACTAATGGCAGTTTATTTCGTTTTATTCAAATTATTGTCGTTATGTTTTTTTTTTCTATTTGTACATTAATAGGTACAACAGAATAAAAACCCGAGATGCTGGCAGCCGCATAAGTATATCAGGTATAATGTTTATTTAAGAAATAATTGATTATTAAACCGTAACATTAAAAGGATGGGCAATTTGATATTTAAAAACAGTAATGATGATGACATTTATTTGTCAATATACTTCCACTGTAGAAAATACGCTGAGGAATAACATTACCTTGTGGGACACAAACAATGAAAGCACTGAAGATGTAAACCATACAAATAGTTATATGGGATTGTTGGTAGCAAACGAGACACTGCATGATGAAAAATTAAGAAATATTACACCTGGAAATGGTATTATACATTTGTAGTTAAATCAAATTACGTTTTCTTTTATTTTGTTTCCAATTACAGTTGAATTTTACACTTTTAGTTTGCAATAATGGCATCAAAATACGAATTGCTATTAGATTAAGAAAGAATTATTCTTGTGAATACTTCCTAAGCTAATTTTATAGGTACCAGACCAAATATGAACGATGAAGATAAGGAAGAGATCACTGAATATAAAACAGAAAATCCAGATAACGAGTACCAAGAAGCTTGGTCCGATGAAAACTTCATTAAGTTTAAAACCTTAGGCAATAGCTCAAAGGACTCAAATTTGACACCGTCAAGAATAAACAATGGTGTGGATATGAAACTTAGGACCTACAGTTCCGTAAAATACAATAGAAAAAGGAAGGTAGGAGAGGCTACGGGTGAAATGAATTCGGCCTGCAACAACATTGGGGATACCTCTAGGGTAGGAAATGAGGATAAGGGAAATGAACAGGATACAAAAACGGATTTTGTGGTAGATTTCGGTGGTAAGTATTTTAAAAACTTGTACATCACTCTTTGTCATTATATCTGCAAGAAACATGGATTATATTAATAAAGCAATAAAACATATTTTATCTTTTGTTTTGCAAGTTACATATATTCATTCTATTATTGAAGGTATGCATTTAGGAAATGAAGATGCTTCACCAGAGTTGATTGAATATGAAGACATGAACATTCTGATGGCCGCCCAGTCAGAACATTACACAGATTTAACTTTCTATTCTTATTCAGAAAGCAATAAAAACAGAGAGATAAAAGAAAAAGAATTTTGTTCAAATGGACATTTATATGAAGCCGAAAATATTGTTGAATCGACAGAAATGTATACAGTTCCGTATTTTCCTGGAAGAAAAAACATTCTGTATGAAGATTCTAATTCGACAAATTCAAAAGAAGACAATCTGTTCAATGAAGGGGAGACGTTAACTGAGGAAAATTGGAGCATTTACGAAGATGTAACAATCCGTTGACTCTACAATTAAGCTAATCTATTCACCTCGCACAGTTTAATAACCAATGTTTGTATAGTTAAAAAAAGAAACGAAAATTATTGTAACATTTCTTTTAACATGTTATTTATGAACTTGGTTTGTGCTTTGATGTAGTTCAACACTAAGAATTTTTAAAATCTATTTTATTTCTGAACAGCTGTTACTAGAGGCAAACAGTTTTTTTATTCTGTAAATATAAATAAGAATTAGATTAATTTGTACATCGTTTAAACTTATCTTTCTTATCGTTTGCATTACTATTTCCATCAATTTTTCCTTAACAAATCTACCTTTGATATTTTAAATGTTTTTTCATGATACTGGTTTTTTAGATTATCTAAGTTAAATATTCAGGTTAAACAATTCTTTGCCAACCCAAGCGTAAAAGATTTTGAACTATTTTTTGTATTTCTTTAGGTGAATTCTCTAAAGATTCTAACTGTTCAATCAAATAGTTAGCAGAAAAGTCTACTAACTTATACCCCTAAGTATGTAAATGTTTTATTTGTTAAGCTATATTTTATTAACAATAGAATTACATAAGGATTGGTATGAATTGTTTATGTTTCTCACAAAAAAGGAAAATTTCAGACATTAGTATGCCTTTACTTTTAAGATTTAAAAATTCTTCATGAATAACAAGAAAAAAAAATGAAGAAAATTATCAGAAAAAAATTAAATTTAGGTATTTACTATACTTTTTAAAAAAAGTAAGCACAAAGCTGCTTTTCAACGAAATTTATTTCATTTGAATTTTATCAATACATGGGGCTGGTAGTGATTGCGGCAAATCAACAAAGAATGCTTCCTGCTCCCAGGCACCTGTCCATCGTTAAACCCTTTTTAACAGAAGTTTTCACAATGTAGTCGACCTCTTACATGTTTGAGATCGACCTTTGTTAAGTATTTCAGTATTCGATACGCAAGAGCACGCTTTACATATGAACAATTTCTAATACGCGGTAATTTATTGATAAGCACGCTGATGAAACAGGAATATCAGCAGTCTCGTTTAAAGTCATCATTTCGTAAGTTCTATAGTTGATACAATGACCTTGTTAGCAAATAAAATTTATCATCAAGTCAAATGCTGACTGACGTTTTTCATACTTATTATTAGTCCATTTTTTATACATTGAATTGATGACGGATTTTTCTGTTATTTCCCGATCATGACAAGAAGCTCACGGCGAGTGTGACCCGTCAGCAGGGCAAGCTAACTCCTCCATTGCATCTGATCCCACCTCTGATGTTTTAAAGGTCCGTGTTTGCTCTGCACCTAGTTTGTATTGTTTAATGGATTTTAAAACTGAATACTGTTCGTTATCTCCATATCATTCTCTCAAACTGCAAAAAAATAAGACAACTTTTTCCTAAATGTTGATCAACCTTAATTAGTTGCCAAATAGAGATAGATCGTCAGAGAAACAGAGATTTATTAAACCTTTCAATTGTTTCTTTACTTTTATGTAACACTTGACCACTTTTTACGCTGTTAATTCGACAAATCATCTTTGTGTTGTCGGCCACGTGGCGCAGTGGTTAGAGCGCCTGCTCTAGAGTCGGAAGTAAGGAGTTGATGCTAACGTCATGGGTTCGAATCTAACTATGGGACGTGGAGTCCGAATGAGACCTTATAAACCGAACAGTAGGTACTAGCACAAAATAGATGCCTCCCTGCTCATTGGCCCTTAGTGCCGTGTATGGGACAAAATTTGCAACATAAAAATTATAGGATATACTCTGAAATTTGTCACATTAAAAAATTCTATAAAAGAGGTAAAATTTCGAAGTTTTTTTTTTTTTTTTTGCAGTGTCATATCTATAATTTGGACTCACATCGGATGTTTTTGGAACAACAACACTTTAAACTCCCAAATTTACTTTTGATACGATGTATTAACTTTGTACTGCTGAATTAAGTCAGATAAAATCTATGTTTATGAAAATAAATAAAAATTACCACGTGCCTAAGAAATCTAAAAGATTTTGCCGAAAAAAGTTATTAAGTATGAACTCTGCCAAAATTAATTCTTATATTTTTTGTTGCTATTGTTTCCTCTCTAAAACGCAGCTATTAAAATGATCTTGAAAGCAGGTGTTAAAAAATAAAATGCTCTTAAAACCTCGGTTTGAATGATCCTTGTCTTGCAATGTAATCCATGCAATTTGCCTTCAGTGTTTAAAACGGTCAAAACACGAATAAAGAATGAAATATATAAGGTACGGTTACATTTTACGAGAGGTAGGTAAAAAAAAATTATATTTTATTCAAAACAAAGAACATTTTTCTTTTGACCTGTATATGATTGCCCTCTTCATACAATTTGAATATTCTCATTTGTTAAAGAAGTGTGTATAGCACGTGATGTTATGGCAGGACGTGGCAGGGCTGGGTACTTGCAGTATTTACTCGTTTCCTTTGTACTGATACAAGTAATACTTTTGTCACTGGAGAAAACTACTATGATTGATGAGTGTTACATTGCAAATTGTTTAGCTGTATATCCATAGTGCACTTGTGATATGTATATTTACTAATCTCGAAATCTCGGTAAATTTCGTATATTTATCAATTTTGGAATCACGTTTTTGTTTTAAGTACATGTGCAATAATATTCAAGTTTATCACTTATAATATAATTAGTAGGTTTTTAAGGTAGGTACATTATTGTCCTACGTACATGTACATACGTGTTTTCGCTGAATATCTGCACATTTATTATGTAAGGGAGATTTTCCGCCATTTTTTTTAAAGAAGAGCTATGCCTTTTTTTTAAATCGACAATCTTGCATATTGGATCTAATGAGGCTCTTATTCTTTTAGGAAATTTATATATTATGAATAATTCACTAGGATATATTTTAATGTGTGACTTACTTGAGATATCTTGTATTTTGAAATCTTGTATTTATAGCTTTTTTTTGTATTTTTTTGTCGTAAATCGTTATTCGTCAATTGTCATTCAACGTCATTTGTTGCCATACTTCATGCTATTGTGTACATGTATCCAATTAACTTAAAGATAGAAATCCAATATACAGGTGTTAAAAGGAAATCACTTCTAGTTTTTGACATTTTCTATTTCTATCTATTTCTATTTCTATCTTTGTTTTCCTGTATCAGTTATCACTGGTACTTTTTTTCCAGTTTAATGCTAAATGTGTAAATCCTCTCCTCTTTTCTATATATATATTTTTTAAATAAAACCTGACATAACGAATTTTTTTTGAGTTTGTCTTTCTATGAAAAATGAAATATTTCCCTTTTGAACAAAGTTTGAACAAAGTTTGAAAACAACTTTATACTAGCTTTTAACATTACTTTGATATGATACTTTTAATTTTTTAATTAGTATTATTTTTAGTGTGTACGTTATAATTAAATCAAGAAACAGGTATTGGTAAATAAATCATTTATCATAAATTATTTTTTTTTTTGCAGAATCTTTTTTTTTAAATAATTTGTTGAATGTAAAGTATATACAGGAAGAGGGTTTGTACGGATAAAATAAACGTTAACCAGTTTCAAGTCTGCCTGATAAGATTGATAATTAATCACTTTTCGATTTTCAAGCCTAAAAGTCTATGAAACAATACAAATTTTGGAACGTAGCAAACATAGACCTTAAGAATATTTAAACTTGGACCATGTGCCATAGAGATGTAAGTATACTCTGCCAACCTGACACACC